GAGAGAGAGAGAGAGAGAGAGAGAGAGAGAGAGAGAGAGAGAGAGAGAGAGAAGCTGCAGGTGGATCATTATGAATTGAGTGGGATCACAGCAGGACATCAGCAGTCCCAGTCCTGGTACAATTGAACCTCTGAAAAATCATAAGTGAACTGTCACTGGCCCTGAAAATTTGTGGTGGCAAACGTGCTGTCTTAGTCGCCCAAGAATAAGTAGCATTCCTGACAGGAACCAGTGTGGCCAACTGCAGACATGACACACAAGTTCGGGTGTGAAAGAGATTGAGATTGATGTCCATCGTTCTTGCATGTGTTCAGGGGTGCAAAAGAGAGTATTATTTTCCTTGCTCGGGCTCTGTGTGAGAAACTCCAAAAGGCTTCACCACACACAGGGGTCCATCATGCCAGGAGCAGGTCTGAAGAGGGTAGCCCTGAGCAACCAAGCACATCATGCAATTTAGATACGGTGATCGGTTGCTGTAGTGCATTTAATCGCTTCGCCTTGTGCCAGAGTGTTCCCAACATCTTATCACTGGAATTGGGAAGGAGTATACGCCAGACAATGCCGTTGTGTAACGGCGAGCATCGGTGCTGTACATGTGGAGCTGCAGGGCATGGTGGTGTGTCTTGTCAGGATATCTCTGCCCGAGGAATGATGGGAAGTCCACGTGTGTCAGAGAAAGAGAGGTCCGAAACTGTTCAAGCTGCAGCAGAAGTACCAACGTTATGTGAGCTAGCGTCACAGGCAGTAGCTGAGAAGCTGGTCAGCGAAGGGGTGGTTTCCAGTCCCAAAGCGACAACTGAGTTGATGGACAAGCTTGGTGATTCTGTCACAACATACTTCACTCGGCTGTATATATTTGTCTATGCCCTCCGAGGTAAGGTGTATGCATGATACGGAAAGTGCACAGGGTGCCCGTTGGTGCGTCTTTTGTCGCTGTGTGCCTGTCTTGTCGGAAGGTACTCTAGCCCCAGCCAGCTCCAAAATACCTCCTATCCTTAACGTCTGCCCAGGTGCTCTCTCTCCTATTCTGCAGTTGTTTAGCCTTCCGTCCTGCATGGTGCTCTCTCTCTCTCCTATTCTGCAGTTGCTTACACTTCCCTTATGCATGCCTTGCCAATGTCCACCTTTTCCCTCCTCTGTGTCATCCTCTCTATCCCCTTACTTGTCCTCTCCTCTACCGTGGTTTCACTCTTGCTGTATGTGTCTGCCTTTCCAACTTTGTTTTATTTTTATTACCACAGGGCCCTCAGCCTCTGCAGTGTGTGTGTGTGTGTGTGTGTGTGTGTGTGTGTGTGTGTGGGTGTGTGTTTTGT